AGAGCATACTGAAGACAAATATCTTTCAAATTCCGGATTTCTCCCAATGTTTTTATGTGTATTAATCTTCCCCAGTGTGGTTCCTTGCAGATCTTTAGACTACAACTTGCATCAGCTTCAGGCATTATGACCAAATGTCAGGAATGATATCCCAAATGGTGGGATAATAGGAGTCCAAAATATCTAGAGAGCACCATATTGGGAAAGGTTGAGGGACAAGACTGAATCATGAGGGATACATAGGCCAAAAGGTCAAGGTGTCAAGAGTCTCCCAGCATTCTGGAACTTTTCCAACTTTCTGGAACTAACTCACAAAGGACTGGAAAGGAAGCAAAACAGTGTTTCCAAAGTCCCAATCAGAGTTGTAATTCAGAAGGATGTCACAGATTATTGTATCAAAAGCAGAGAAGAATATACTCCTTTCTAGTTCCTGATGTAGGTTGTATACCAGGGCAATTGAATCATAGAATAGTAGAGTTGGAAGGGGCCATGAAGGCCATCAGGTGCAACCCCCTGCCAATTTATTCCATTCTCATGTTTTTGTCCTAAACAGCACCTGAATCTACATTTATTTATTATTTATTTATTTATTTATTTATTAAAACATTTTTAAATCCATTTAAATCCATTCTGTTGAAGAACCCTTGTCCATGAATGCTAGCAGAGGTTATTTTGTGGATTGCCCAGGGACTTTCAGGAATTAGATGAAATTGAAAATGAATAATGCTGAATCTGGAGCGTCCTGTCCTTCCATTCCATTATGGCAGACCGTTTCATGGTTACTGTTACTTTCAGCGATGGGGAAACTGGCTTCTACAATATGATACAGCTGCCTACTCTTATGGTATGGTCAGCAATTGCAGTTAGTGCCACCAAAGACATTCATTGTTCATGTCTGCCAGCATTCCAATAACTCGCTGGGCCATCCTAGATCCAAAAGAGCAGGCAACTGAATGTGTGCTGCTACTTTAGTTATCCAGCATGTTTATACATCTGACCACTATCTTCCTGTTTGAACTAACTCCTTTGTCTTGAGTGGTCCATTGATTTTTATTTACCCTGAGTGTGTTGTTTGAGCCATAGCATGTGCTGAATGCCATTTGTCTAATATATCCACCACTTGTTGTGTTATCATCCTTAACCAAGCATGACATGACTTGTTATGGGGGAAAGCGACCCTCAAATAACCCAACAGCCCATAAGTACAGTATATCTAGTATATTATAGTAAAGCTACCACAGTAATAAAACTGATCTATAGTATAACCACATTTACCTTTACATAGGAACTCAAGCAAGAGCATCCATATGTACTTTTCTGTGTAGTTACTGTGAAAACAGGGTGTCCTTAATTTTGGTAACATCTAGATTTTGCTTACCATAGTTATCTTTGCAAATCAAGTGTTTTGCAGTTGATGCTGGGTCATTTGTTGAGACTATTTGTTCCTGGGTATTTTAATGATACACATGAATAATAAAAAATGAAAAACTGATAAAGAAACTTAAATTTCTAAGTATTCTTGCACCATGTTGTACTTTGGGATGAGGCTGCTATGTATATAACTGGTTACAATAATCTGCTATATATACTCCTGTACCCATTCTGGTTACCTAAAGCTTAATCTAAATGTAATGGCTATGATCTTGTTGCTCCTTGAGACCTGGTGGCCAGAAACCAATATATTTTTTCCCCTAATGGTGGAAAATATTGCATGTATTTCAGAGACCATGGATTTCCTTGGGCCAACATCACATGTGCAAACATATACTCTTTTATTCCAGGAGCTTTCACCCTTTTATCAAATTAATAATTGATAGGCTCCTGAATTACATTCACTAATGTAGATGAGAATCCCAATTCATACATAGTCAAGTAATAGAAAGGCTGAAAAAGTAGTATTTCATGGACTTGAATAGGTAAAAAAACATGTCTTAAAGGAGTAAGACGATTGATTAATATTGAATTTGCCTTATGGTGTAAATGCAGATATCTTCCCTGTCCTTTCTATAGTAGGTTAGAAATACTTTTGTACTTAATTACCGGGGGCAAATCTGAATCTATCAAGCTTTATACCTTGGCTTCATCTGAACTGAGATGGACTTCAGGGTATTCTATTTTTTCAATTATGTGTTAAGTGCTAGTGTCTGTCTCTCCCATTAAAGATAAGGATGATAGCTGTAATTCACTTCCAGCTTTGTTCCATTCAGAGTTTCAATCCAGTAGGTAAACATTTATAGTATATCACAGAAGTGAGTACACCCCTCACATTTTGTAAATATTATATCTTTTCATGTGACAACCCTGAAGAAATGACACTTTGCTACAATGTAAAGTAGTGAGTATACTGCTTGTATAACAGTATAAATTTGCTGTCCCCTCAGAATAACTCAACACACAGCCATTAATGTCTAAACCGCTGGCAACAAAAGAGAGTACACCCCTAAGTGAAACTGTTCAGATTAGGCCCAAAGTGTCAATATTTTGTGTGGCCACCATTATTTTCCAGCACTGCCTTAACCCTCTTGGGCATGGAGTTCACTAGAGCTTCACAGGTTGTCACTGGAGTCCTCTTCCACTCCTCCATGACGACATCCTGGAGCTGGTGGATGTTAGAGACTTTGCGCTCCTCCACCTTCCATTTCAGGATGCCCCACAGATGCTTGATAGGGTTTAGGTCTGGAGACATGCTTGGCCAGACCATCACCTTTACCCTCAGCTTCTTTAGCAAGGCAGTGGTTGTCTTGGAGGTATGTTTGGGGTCATTATCATGTTGGAATACTGCCTTGCAGCCCAGTCTTCGAAGGGAGGGGATCATGCTCTGCTTCAGTATGTCACAGTAGATGTTGGCATTCATGATTCCCTCAATGAACTGTAGCTCCCCAGTGCCACAGCACTCATGCAGCCCCAGACCATGACACTCCCACCACCATGCTTGACTGTAGGCAAGACACACTTGTCTTTGTACTCCTCACCAGGTTGTTGCCACACATGCTTGACACCATCTGAACCAAATAAGTTTCTCTTGGTCTCATCAGACCACAGGACATGGTTCCACTAATCCATGCCCTTAGTCTGCTTGTCTTCAGCAAACTGTTTGCGGTATTTCTTGTGCATGATCTTTAGAGGCTTCCTTCTGGGACGACAGCCCTGCAGACCAGTTTGATGCAGTGTGCGGCGTATGGTCTGAGCACTGACAGGCTGACCCACCACCCCTTCAACCTCTGCAGCAATGCTGGCAGCACTCATACATCTATTTCCCAAAGTCAACCTCTGGATATGACGCTGAGCACGTGCACTCAACTTCTTTGGTCGACCATGGCGAGGCCTGTTCTGAGTGGAACCTGTCCTGTTAAACTGGTTAAACTGTATGGTCTTAGCCACTGCTGCAGCTCAGTTTCAGGGTCTTGGCAATCTTCTTATAGCCTAGGCCATCTTTATGTAGAGCAACAATTATTTTTTTCAGATCCTCAGAGTTCTTTGCCTTGAGGTGCCATGTTAATAATGCCCAATTTGAACAGTTTCACTTAGGGGTGTACTCACTTTTGCTACTAGCGGTTTAGACATTAATGACTGTGTGTTCAGTTATTTTGAGGGGACAGCAAATTTACACTGTTATACAAGCTGTATACTCACTACTTTCCATTGTAGCAAAGTGTCATTTCTTCAGGGTTGTCACATGAAAAGATATAATAAAATATTTACAAAATGTGAGGGGTGTACTCACTTCTGTGATATACTGTAAGTGTTTTCTTACTTGTTCTAAGAAGATACCTGCTGTTCCTTTATTCATTCCCTCCTATCTATAGTTAGCATATTTTTTTACTGCAGATTTCATATGGGATGGGTCTACAAATGGATTTTCTGGTCAAACAAGCTAGGTCTGTTTCTCTTTCTTGCTACATCCTGTTCCTTGACAAGTTGGATTGCATCTGATTTTAACTTGTCGAAAACTCCCAGCTTCATACATATAGTGTAGTGTTCAAGCAAGCAAATATTACATATTGTATTCTCATTTACATAAACACGGAGGCAATGCCGCCTGCAGTGGTAAAGATATCAGTGATAAGAGCAAGCTCCTTCCTACCTTACTAGTGTTGTGTTTCTGAAAGACCCCACCACCTCCTCTCATATCAGCCTGTCTTTAATTTGCAGTCTTCATCAGTGGCTCTGTATTTGATTACCTTAGTGACTAGTAACTGGCAAATTTACCTAGTAGGTATCCCTCTTTAGCTGGAAATGAGAATGACATTGTGGGAGAGCTTTTGATCAGCCAGGACTGAAGACTAGCAAAATTATTTTTGCTCATATGTGATAAGAAGCTAGGATTACCAGACTCAGATACCTTTCTGTCTTGATCATGGTATGACTGAAGAAGTTGCAGCTGTAAGAGAAAAGTTACTATATACTTATTACTGTGGAAAGCACTAGATACCTGTTCTGTATTGAATTTGGCCAATCATGGTATGACATGATTTTCCCAGTAGGCTCCCATTTGCTTCAGAGTTTGAAAGTATAGCCTGTCCAGATTATGCGTCTACACTATGTTATTTAGTTAGCATACAAAAATAAAGCTTGGGAATGCTAGCTAGCTGCACCTGGAAAGAAAAATAGCAAGGATATAATTTTCCTACTACCCAGTGCAGAACTTTTTGAAAAAGTAGGCAAAAGCCTCTTCCTCCTCCTTGTGTTCTGCTATGACACAATTGAAATGCAGCAGATACTCCATTCTATATGCTTTGTGTCCACATCCTTCCTCATCTTGAGATCATCTTCAGTCATACAGGGCTTCCATGAAAATGCATGCATTAGAGAATTTAAGAAAGTTGATTTCATTTCTCATTCATAAGAGTATTGAGGATCAGTTGCTCTTCATTTTTACTTTTCCAGTTTTATTTTATGAAAAGACCTTACAGCTGTTATTTGAAATTGAAACAAAATATAATTAACTTAGCTAAAAGGCTAGTAATTTGCCTTAACTTACCTTTCCTTTGTTTGTGCAGATGCCCAGGGCTCAGCTTTGATATCTCCCCAGTCATACCCATTTACAATGCTGTGGTTTTCCTCTTTGTGCTGGCCAACTTCAGCATGGCCACCTTCATGGATCCAGGCATATTTCCACGAGGTGAGAGATGCTTCTGTTCTGCTTCTTGCAAGGCAATGATAATTTGAAAAGGTTTTGATTTGGGGAAGGTTATTTCAGTTCTCTTAATCTAGTGCATGAACTTGCCTGGTTTTCGTAGTCAAAACTTTTCCAGTAGGAGGGGATACCCTTCTTTGTGGATATAAATCTTGTAAAACTCATCCAGCACAGACTCTGGATATTTGTAGTCCTAAATATATGGAGGGTGCCAGGTTTCCTACCTCTGCTTTAAAGCAATACATTGTGAGAAATTGATATTTGATCACTGCAGTACTATGAACCAGTACAGTGAATTGCAACTGTTGGTCACCATTCTTGGGCTCAATTGTCCACTGAAAAAAGCCTGGAGGATACTGATAGCTCCAGGAATTGTCTTTCTCCAATCTGGTACCTTTCTCATCATCACTGACCATTAACCATGGTGTCTGAGACTGATGGGAGTTGGCATAAAAACATGTGAATTGTACCAGGTTGGAAGAAGCTATTTTAAAACATTTCCCAAGGCAATAGATAATGAAACAACCTTGTGTTTTTGAAACCTGGACTGTTGCTGATTTTGATGCAAGAGTAGAGTGGATTTAAGAATCCATTGCAAGCAAGCTATTGCAGTATTTAGGAAGGGTGGGATTCATAAACCTTGGCTGACTTTCCACAAATCATGTTCTGAGAGGGTTTCAAGGTGTATTGACTCTGATGTTAAATTGCAATTCCTAAGCATTTGAAGTATATTCAAGGCCCTCAGCACAAACTTGCAGTCAAAATCCTTCCACTGATTTTGGAAGGGAAGCCTGTGTGAGGGTTAATTCCTGTTGAGTCTCCAAGACTTTACAGCTTTCACAGTTTCTTTATGTGTTCAACACTACCCTTCCTTTTCTCAAAGCTTGGGAGAAGGACAGAAGATTCTACCAGAACAACAGGCGCTAGCAGCAGGCTGATTGTATTTTGTGGAATACAAAAATTTTGTGGTGGAAGGGGGCATTGGATGTTGGTCTGTTTTAGTTCACTGGCTTTGATTTTCTTTTTCGTCAGCTGAAGAAGATGAGGACAAGGAGGATGACTTCCGAGCTCCACTGTACAAGACTGTGGAGATAAAGGGCATTCAGGTGCGCATGAAATGGTGTGCAACATGCAGATTCTATCGGCCCCCACGGTGCTCCCACTGTAGCGTCTGCGACAACTGTGTGGAGGTGAGAAACTTGGAGAAGAGAACTATGCCAAGTGATCGGACTTGTTTGTCCTAAGAGGAATTATGAAGTTTGAGTATTTACTGCTTGCAACTATGTATAGAGAGTTGTGTACTTGAGTGTTCTGGGAAAGGATGTCATTCTGAGCATTGTAGACCTGGACAGACACTTGCATGTTCCTTTTTTTTAAACCAGAGTCTCAGGCTTCCCAAACTGAAACCAGTTGCAGAATGCTGCCTTGAGGCAAGAGAGGTCCAGAATAAATTGCATTATGGAGGGTGACTTCACAAAGAGTTTTGTTCATATAGTATTTTTTATTTTATACTTAAATCAACCTTTTTTCTATACATGGAATTCAGAGTGGTATATATAGGTTTCCCAGGATGTTTCCTCTTCAGGTACTGAGACAGACCTGCCTAGATTCAGCATGCATGCTCTGTCATGTGCCATCAGACTATGCCCTGCTCATATGGTATATATTGCACAGTTATTGCATGTATATATAAGTAGTGTGTTATCTCTGATCCCATATATACATGATGTTCCTACCTCCAGAGATTACCTCCATTGCTTAACAACCACAAATCTAGAAGTAAACCTGCATGTTGATCTGGGAACTTCAGCAGAAGTGCCCATGCAACAGTGCTACATTAAGTTATACATATAACCCACACATGTAGCAAGGGATTAATGTTCTAGAAAACATTTGCATGTACATATGGGAAAACAAAGGTTTACACTGATCTCAGGGGCTTGCATAATGAACTGAAAACATTACATGGGACAGAGCATAAATTGTGTGCACAACCTCAAATAACACCAGCTGTGACCATATTCAGCCAAATGTGAGTGTTCTGCCTTTCCATTTTCCTTTTCTCCATTTCACCAGTGCTAATGAATAAGGGTCTGCATCTGCTTCAGATGAAGTGCAATTAATAAATTTAAGTGAGATAAGTTAAAGGTATTCAGACCTCCTCCCAGAGTGAAGCAAGACTTTTCCAAAGCAAGTCAGGCAGGCCCCTAAGCTTTTGGACCTGCTCTGAATGCCATTTGGCCACATGCAAAGCCCCCAATATGTTTGTTTAAAGGAGATCCTAGGAACTGCTCTGAATGTGACATTGATACCTGCTCATTCATAGTTGTCTTTGCTTGCATTGTCAGTGCCTGCAGGGATTACTTTAAGTAGCATATCAGGAAAGCTATCAAAGAGGAAAAATACAGTCTACATACTTCAGAAATGGTAGGGGCAAGGTCCTCCCTGAAGAGGCCCCCTGCCCACAGGGTCCTTTGTGGTGCTGGGCTTGTGCCTCAGCTATTTTTTAGAGTGTGGGGGCAGGTGGTGTAAAAATTAGTGTTGCTGATGTTCCAGTGCATTTCAGTAGGGCAGAAGAAAAGCATGCATCTTTGAAAACAGCTGGGAGGAAGCCTAGCTCTGCACCCAATACCCAGTTGTCCCAGTGATCTTTCACAGAGCTTCCCTGTCCCCATTTTCCCATGATAGTCAGTGGGAATACAAGAGACTTGTGAAGTTTTGGATTTCCAAAGCAAGGTTCTGCTTCATATTTGAGACATGTCTGGTGGTCTTTTAGTAAAAGGGCAGTATAGACGTACTAATAAATATCTGAAGCAACAAAGCCAGATTTGAATTTAATCTTTTGTGCAAACTTATAACAAGCTGAGCAACTTTACAACCCATCCAACAGTGAAAGGTGAGACTGAGAAAGCCAGTCAAGCTCCTCAGTGCTGCTCATGGGAGCTGGGAGGCCTGGATAAGAACAAGACAGGAAGGTTTGATGGTTGTTACAAACACTTTGCTTATCAAGATTTGGGTGCATGTGTGCATTTTTTCAACTTCTTCCTGCTGAGGACACTTCTGTAAGACTCACACATGTAAAAATGAATACATTTTTTAAAGGAAGCAAAGGTGATAATAAGTCACCAGGCTACTTCAGTCCATAATCTATGAGTTAATGATATTCACTCTATCTACCCTTGCTATAGGGGTTCCATCTTGCTCCCATTGTTGGAGTAAATATTTGATGGAGTCATGATCTAGAGTTTAGGATGATTCTGGAAATAATGGAAGACATGGTACTGCAGCCTTATTTTTTGGAAGTGACGTTTTCTAACTTTGTTCTTTATCTTTTAACTGATAGGAGTTTGATCATCACTGTCCCTGGGTGAACAACTGCATAGGGCGGCGCAATTACCGCTACTTCTTCCTGTTTCTACTCTCACTTACAGTACATATCATGGGTGTATTTGGTTTTGGCTTGCTGTATGTCCTGTATAAAGTGGAAGAACTCTCTGGGATCCGCATGGCTGTCACGTATCCTTACCTTATTTCTCCAGGGTACAAACAGTTCCTTACACAGGACCTCTGGCTGGGAGTGGGATAGGGTTCGGGAGTCTCCAAATAAGAAATGCTTATTGATTCTTGAATATTATTTCCTTGACTTTTTGGCAGCATGGCTGTCATGTGTGTGGCTGGTTTGTTTTTCATTCCTGTAGCTGGCCTTACAGGATTCCATGTTGTACTGGTAGCTAGGGGTCGAACTACCAATGAACAGGTATGTATGTCACAGTTGGTGTCGTATTTCACTTAATTGTACCTCAGTTCCTTTGACCACTTTTCTGTTTTTGCAGGTTACAGGTAAATTCCGGGGTGGGGTAAATCCATTCACCAATGGTTGCTGTAAGAATGTCAGTCGTGTCCTCTGCAGCTCCCCTGCCCCCAGGTAAGTTCTGCACAAACCCAAAAAGTTGTAGAGGCCCTGGCTCTTCTTTAAGTGGGATGACCTTGATTTACTGTATTGGTAATGAAAGAGTGGAAAGCTGAAAGAGGATGCTTAGGGCTCATCCATGTGGATCGTTCATCGTGGTGGTGGGTTGAGGAAGCACTTGCTGACAGTCTTCGATCAATAGGAGGTTTTTTTTCCTCCTCATAAATTACAATTCAAAAAAGGGGAGGCTGCTATGTATCTAGCGATGTGGGATTAGTACCTGCTAATTTAATACAAAGGCTGTCATCTTGGGATTCATATTCTTCCATAAGAACATAAACTAGATCAGACCAAAAACCTATTTACTGCACACAGTAGCCAGTCAAATGACCCAATGCTCACAAGCAGGTCATGAGTATAACATAGGAAATCATACCTAATGCAACACCACTGTTTATGTAAATAGCATTAACCACATCTAGCACAACATCAGAAACACTTGCTAGCATAACAGGAAACCTGCTGCACCAGCAAGCACTACTGGTGTTGTGGTGGAGATCACTTAAGCTAGTGCAGTATAACTTATATTAGCAGTAGTGTTGCACTGGATACTGCCCCATAGTTTAACAATGGTTTCTGTGAATTACTTTTTTCTCTTTCTCCTGAATCTTCCACCATTCAGCTTCATGGGATGATTCAGAGATTAGAGTTAGTACTTTCTCTACATCATGCATAATTTTACGTATTTGCATAATATTTCCTCTTTCCCTTTTTTTAAACTAATGAACCCCAAATGTTGTTCCTATGTTCCTCATGAGGAGTTTTTGCAGTGACTGACAATGTTGGTTGTCTTTCTTTGTATCTTTCAAAGTGCTTTTATGTACATAAAGGTACAGTTAGCCTTCAGCTGGGTGCTTGTCTTCCCCCAAGTTTGTTCACCCGAACCAAACCTTTTTCAGATTGGTAGCTCTCCTGGCATCCATTTTTTTAAGGAAAAACCACCTGTGTATTATACACAATATTCCTGTTTGATGTTTTCATAGATACACCCAATTGGAAAGTGCTATTGTGTTCCTCACACTTATGTGTGTAATCAGAGAGGACAGAACTCTGTATGACTGTATCACAGAATGCTGAATAGTGTATCTAACACAATTCTATAAAATCTAATTTCCCTTTTCAAGCCTTGAAACACACTGAAATTTTGAAAAACAAAATCCTTATACTAGAATTTGGCTTTGCCTTTTGGCATGAATATATATTCTGGGTGCTTCTGCCACTTAACTGTATAGGTTGCTTTCCTATATTGTAATTGTCTATTATCAGAATCTAATAGCACCACACTTTTTATTCAGAATTAACAGTACCCTGTGCATTAAGTATTTCAGTGCATTCTTCCTAGCTCCTTGTTAGAGTAAAATGGTATGGAAAAAAGCTGTTTTTCATTACATGAGCAAATATAAAAGAAACTTGTACAGATACAATGTGTTCATCATTCTGTGAATCACACTTTTAGTTAATTATTATCTTTAGTAGGGTATACTCTGTTTTAGAGTTGTGGCAGTGGGTATACTATGAAGTTACTAATTTGTGATTACTCCACTATTCTTGCTGTAAATTGTTCTCTTGTATCTATATCCTTGAGCTACAGCTAAATAGTATTTTTTAAATTTTAATCTTTACTTCATATCCAAAGAAACAAAGTGCATAAAGAAAGCTTTTACTCTGAGAATGTGCTTAATCTGTTAGATGGATCAATTTGGTTTATATTTTCCTTATAAAAAGCTTTTGTGTTGTCATATGCTGGCACACAGGTCACCAACCTCAAGTACATGTTCTTGAGGGGTTGTCACACCATTAGTGTAACTTAACGCCCTTTTCCACTATTAAAATGAGAGTGTGGCAATATGGCATTTTAACAGGAAAGTTGAAGGAAAAGTGGTACTTACATCGCATTCAGCTTTTGTCATGAATTCATAGATAGTGTGATTCCATTATACCAATGGAATGATGTGGACAACACACTTGGGAGAAGGAGTCTTTGAAAAGCGGATTTTATATCTTGTGGCAATGCTATCTTTGCAGTTCCTTGGATACAAGGAGGATTATTACTCAAACATTACTCTAGCTTCAGACTGTCTTGCTGGAGAGGTAAACATGTTCAGCTAGGTCAAAGCTTGCAAGAGAGACTGACTCATCCTTCTTCATTTCAGTCTAGGAGTGTTTTACCTTCTTCTCATGATTCACTAGGTATCTTGGGCGGCCAAAGGCAGAACAGACTGTATTAGTGAGGCCACCATTCCTACGGCCAGAAATATCAGATGGACAGATTGCTGTAAAGATAATGGACAATGGAATCCAGGCTGAGTTGAAGAGATCAAAGGTGAGGAGAATGTGAAAGTGTTGGCCAGGCAGTGGTCTTCTCAAATCCTTGAAGGTGCTGCTGTATACGTGAGTAGGTCTCAAATGAGCCATTTGAATGTTGTTCTTCCATGTTACCATTCCTTTTTTTCCAGTTTTTCCCAGAAAATGGAAGTCTGTTTCCCTCCCATGTAGTTATTGCTACATGAGAGTTGCTCCCTTTGTATCCTGGGTAACTCTGACTTGCCCTTTCTCTTCTCATCCAGCGACTGAGACATGCATAGTCTACAACTACATTTGCAGAAATGCTAAGTAGCTACAGGTCCTTCTAATCACACTTACTTACACCTCTGTCAAATTGGAGGCAATATTCAGGACTTTGGGTCCTGCCTCATTCTTCTGATTGCTCCTCTGCACTTTGTCTCTGCAGTCCAAAGGAAGCCTTGAAGTGACGGAGAGCCAGTCTGCTGATGCTGAGCCACCACCCCCACCCAAGCCAGACCTCAGCCGCTACACAGGTCTGAGGACGCATTTAACTCTGACCACCAATGAGGGTAAGAAGAGCATGCCAGGGAGCGAAGGGCACAGTCAGCTTTGTGCTTGCACCACAGCCTGCTGTCAGCAGAGTTGTCCCTAATTACAATACAGGTAGTGATGCTAGACAGCCCTGGGCTGCTTGGCAAAATGCATTGGTTACTTTTGGAATAACCCTTAGGGCAGCTTTGTGTAGTGCTGGTACAGTACTAAGGCAGGATTACCTAATTCAACATACAGTTGACTTTTTCAACTGGGTACTGGGGCAGGTGCTAAGCTGATAGCTAGAATAACCTTTAGAAGGTATGCAAATTTTAAATCTCTCACTTTCTTGCTTTTAAAGACTGCTGAGAACTGTCAAGATTTGAGGACTGACTGACTATCAGTTCTCCTTTGTATGTAAAAAGTGAGGTTGCTAGGGGAGAAAGGTCTCTTCTTTGTTTGCTGTAGTATGCTAGTATGGAACCAACAGCTAGTGTTACTTCCCTGTGTGCAGGTGTGATTCCTGCTGCTTTTGCTGTTATTCCAGTATTCTCAGAGGAAGCTGCACCTTGAAAGAAAATGTGATATGTGGAGCAATTTCTAGCACTTTCTTTTTCCATTTCTGCATTAGCATTCTCTGGTCAGTACCACTGCTTTTCCTGTACCATAGTGCTCAAAACTGAGAGCCTCAGGGGTCAGGACTGGCAAGGCTTGCATGCACAGGCTGGAAGTTACTTGTGTGATCTCATTGTTGGGGAAGTGTTGCTTTTGCTCCATTTCATCTCCACCCCGGTTATACGCCCCCTAGTTCCTGAATACTTCCTTAACTTCCATGGTGTGTCCACCTGCTTGAGGCTCTTGCCTTGCTCTCATGGATCAGTTGCTCACCATACATAACACCTCTGTACAATGTTCGGAGAGTTACTCCTGGAACTTCCCAGGACAAAGCTGCAAGTGACTGCATGAAACATCACTTGTGAGTGTGTGTGTCCATTTTCTTTTTCTCTCTGCAGACAGCAGTTTGCTAGGCAAGGACAGTCCTCCAACTCCAACCATGTACAAGTACCGACCTGGCTATAGCAGCAGCAGCACTTCAGCTGCAATGCCTCACTCCACCAGCGCCAAGGTAATGAGAAATTAGCTTCTTGAGTGTGAAGATGTGGGGTTGTGAACATCATACAGGATGAGGAATTGGAAGGGGAAGGGGTTCAGTGCCTCAGTTTGATTGACAAATTAAATGGCATCGTAACAGGGAATGGCAATGTTCAGGCTTTATTTCTTACTAGAATTCCAAAGCCACCAACTGGAGCTAGATTCAGATTGGCAGTTAAGAATGAACTCCCTTCTGAATTTCATAAGCCATATACTGGAATGAACTGCATGCTCAAATGCAAATTCTCTTTGTGAAATATAGTCCCTTGGAGAAGTATTCATTGTCCCTTGAGTTAACAACATAATACAATACATTGTATGGCCATTGTTATCAGATGGCATAAAAGTTAGGTAAACTAAAACCTTCACTTGTTAGTTGCAAAAAGTATTCACCTCCTTTGCTTTGATTGGCATCAAGCCCTGGTACAACTCCCAGAATTTAGTGTAAGTAGTTGAGTAGGGTCCACCTATGTGAAATTTCCAATGCCACATAGTGCTAGACTGTAGAATTTGTTGGAGGGTATTTCTGTGAAAACAGCATCATGAAGATATAGGAGCTATCCAAACTCCAGGGTAAAGCTGTGCAGAAGCACCAATCAGTATTGATTTATTTAAAAAATCCAAATATGCCCATCCTTCAGAGCACCAACAGATATATTATTACAAAATGTTTCCTATCCTAGAATATGGCTCAACCTCAATTCTAGCACTCCTAGTTCCTCCTAGGAGTGCTCCAGACAGGCTAGAAAAATAACCTTGTGTACTGTTTAGCCCAAGGTGGTGATGTTGATAGAGACTGAAGTAAAATGAAAGGGAAAGGACAGTTTTTATCTGACATCCTAAAATTCCATTGTCAGTTGCTTTCAGCTATAGACTAAATTGAGAGTCCCATACAGTCTGCCAGATTTTGGTCCATTGACATCAGAAATTCAGAATGTCTGGACCACAAGCCTAATCTGGCCCAAGAGATTTCCAGAGCTTCCTTAGGTTCCTCTAAGGAACAGGGCTCGGCCTCCAAGGCTCACTCCTTTGAAGGAATCTCTACTATTATTTCTGATCAAAAGATCAAAACTTTTAAATGGATACCTCTTAGAACTACTCAGAAAATATTAAATGAGAGCTCTATTTAAACAAAGAGCAAAATATGTGATTCCAAAATATATTGTTCCAGAATTCTGTGTTTGTGACAGATGTTATCTCTCCTCTTTCTAGCACTGGCCAAGTCTTTTCACATAGCTCAAAGCCATGCACTCGACTGAGGGGGTGGGGGGCATTCTTTTCAGAGCGATTGTATTGGCTTTGTGTAGCAAGCAGTCAAGGATTCAGTCAGAACCAAGCAAAGTAGTTGCTCCTCCTGAGACTGACTGAGTTTCTTTCTCTGGGCCTATCCCAGCATAAAGAATGGCAGGACGTATAGGGCAACAATGTGGTTGACTATGGCTTCCCTAGCTCATGTCATCTAGCTTGAAGAGAGCCTAGTGGAGTGGGGAGGGACTGAAATAGGTGTACCCCTGATTTAGACCCCTTTTTGGCTTAAGTATGGAAGCTGAAGTCCTTCCCAAGCCATTTTTTGGCATTTTAAAAATGTATTTTCTTTAATCTCAAACACATGTACTTCTTTGCACCTTAGTATGTAGAATTCAATACCTTATCTTGGAGTGGCCCTGATTTGCTTCTAAACCAAGAGGCACCAGAGTTTTCCATTAGTGGTGCTGATGTGTACTGTAGAGAATGAGCCCATCTCTTGCTCATTACAAACTGTTCAGATAGACTCATCTGATTCTAAGGAGGAGGTGGAAGTGCAAGCGGGGAGCAAGGACTTTGAAATTACAGGGTTACCTAGTAAAATTTCTTAGGGAGAGTATGAGAACTAGCCTGCTTTGGAAGGGCAGAAGGGTTTTCAGGATGGGAGGGGGAGCAGATATGAGACCCAGTCCTTGACCCAGTAAGGAGGCAATGTGAGAAACAAACTGCCCGCTTAGAGGGTCTCTGATGTTCCCATTGTCTTACCTTCAAGCAGCATGTGCCACCCAAAAGCTTTACTGAGAGGGAGGGACAGAGAAGAAGTTTCCAGTTTAGATACAGCTCTTTGCATGGGCAGATGCTTCTTTCTTAGCTTTGGTAGAAGGCCACTTTAGAGATCATGCTGTTCTCATATCTGTTAAAAGAACTGGACTTCAATGAATTGAGTTTGATTACCAGAAGGAAATAGGGAAGGGACCAGCTCAGGACATATACATATAAGAACTTAAAGGCAGTTACTGCTTCTACTGTGGCAGAATAGAATTTGCTAAATTAAATTATTGTTATTTTAAAGATACAGTCCTATGCCTATTTATACAGAAAACATCCTACATTTCCCAGTCAGCATATTTGTACCCTAAACTGCCTAGATCTTAATATTTTTGTACTTGCCTTTCTCACAGAAGCTTGTATGGCAGGGAGATTCATGGATCTATTCTGCTATATTTCCAAGAGAGCCCTGTGCAATAGATTAGGTTGAGAGTGTATAACTGGGCTAGTGTCACCCAGTGAGCTTCATATGTGAATTTGAACCCATGCCCAGGCCCAACACTTTATCTATCACATTATACTGTCATTTGATAAGTAAATAACTCAATTGATTGGATGATAACTTGAATGATAGTGATGCACTTGCACAAGCTGAGATTTTTTCTAGTAATAAAACAAAAATGGTCCTTGTGTATGGGGCACTTTGGGTAAGCAGATCCTTTGCTCCATATTTTGGTATAATTCTGAATCGCCGAGGAAACTTACACATGACTTTCATATCTGTTTCTCTCTGTCGCAGCTAAACCGAGGAGACAGCCTGAAAGAGCCAACATCCATTGCTGAGAGCAGCCGAAATCCTAGTTACCGCTCTGAGCCAAGCCTGGAGCCAGAGAGTTTTCGTTCTCCCACTTTTGGCAAGAGTTTCCATTTTGATCCACTTTCAAGTGGCTCCCGCTCCTCCAGCCTCAAGTCTGCCCAAGGCACAGGCTTTGAATTGGGCCACCTTCAGTCCATCCGCTCGGAGGGCACCACATCCACATCTTACAAGAGCCTGGTCAATCAGACACGCAATGGGAGTTTGTCATATGATAGCCTTCTCACACCTTCTGATAGCCCTGACTTTGAGTCAGTGCAGGCAGGTCCAGAGCCAGATCCCCCAATGGGTTACACTTCTCCTTTCCTTTCAGCTCGTATTGCCCAACAGCGGGAGGCTGACTTGCACAGTCGTTTCCCAACCTCTGGCTCTCCCAAGCACCAGCCACTCCGTGATTCTTCACCCGTCCGCTATGACAATCTTTCACGCCACATTGTGGCCTCCATGCAGGAACGGGAGAAGTTGCTTCAGCAGTCACCCACACCACCACCCCTAGCCAAAGAGGAAGATACAGGACTGGGGGACTCAGGCATCCAATCCACACCAGGCTCCAGCAATGCCCCACGTACCAGCTCCTCCTCGGACGATTCAAAGCGCTCACCCCTGGGCAAGAACCCGCTCACCCGCCCAGTGGCACCTCGCTTTGGCAAACCGGAGCCACCACATGCACTCAGAGTGCGTTCACTGGGCTCACCAGACCAGCCTGCAGCCTCTCACTTGGGCAAATCTGTGTCTTACAGCAGCCAAAAACAGTCACCCCAAGCCATCGTCCCAGAGATTGAGGAGGTGGCCTTGCAGCCTTTGCTGGCACCAAAGTAAGTACAAGTGACACCTGCCTCATGTTTTAAGTGTACCTTGATGGAGGATGAATCACATTCAGCCCTGCTCCATCACTGCTCTGACTGAGGAACCCAAGATCATTTTGATTCCTTTCAGCAGCATCTGGAAGGATTGGCTGGGGGTAATCTACAAATAGTGCCTGCTCTCGTCTGCTCCTTCCTTTCCTTCTGTTTTCCTTCCTGCCCCTTCAGTGTGTGAACCAAGCCATTTCCTCACCCTCTAGTGTACAGTGCAGGGCAAATCCCATTGCATCACATTTCTTTTTGTGATGTGTGTACATTTCAGCATCCTCACTTTCCTTGGGTTTATGAGATGGTCACTGGTACAGGATTCCTGGACCATCTGTGAGATACCTGCCTGTTTTTACCACATATATAAAAATATTCTATTTGAGACTATTTCTCTCACATGCATGGGTCATGCCCTTCCTTCTGCCTACCCTTAGTATATTCCACTTCCTTGTCTTCTCCGTGTTCATGTGAGAAAAACTTGAGCCTACTATAATGTGGGGAGTAAGACTAGGGATGCAAAGAACAGGCTAGAATCTGATTCTCTTGTGCTTGCTGGACTTCTTTCCCATGCTTGGCTCTGGCCAGGAAATGCGTAAAGCTGAGATCAAGCCCTTGAAATCTTGGGGATGCTAGTGGCTTTTTTTGCACAAAATATATAATTCTTTGTGCAAAGTATGCAGAGCCCACTAGTCATGTGTGTAAAAACAGAACTCCACTTGCACAGTGGCCTTGTGGACAAAATTCCTTCCCCTTCCCTCACAATTACTTGACATGAAGTGGGTAGAGAAAGAAAACAGGCCAGAGTTCAGAGAACCAAGTCAAGGAAACCAAATGGATTCCTGCTCCCAAACTAGATCCCTCATGCATCACTAGGTGAGATACAGGCTGTAAGAAAACATCTGTCCTGAAGATGGTGGAAGCATGATCTGTCCTGTCACTTTTTCAAGGAGCTTCTTTCTTATGCCCTACATTTCTTTCCTTTGTTTCCTTCCAGTGAGTACTGTATTGGGTACATGCAGCAACCTTTCTTAATAGTTCTAGGTGTATAAGATCCTATCTTCCGCTAGACAGGTGTATGCTTGACTCCACTTTGCTGGCTCTGTAAAGTGTTTATAGTGCCCCGTCCCTGTGGATATTAACAATCCACTGTTCTGTTCCTTTCTTACTAACCCAAGTAGTGTAAGTTATATCTCAAGGTTTTCTTTCCTTTTCCTGAGTGTGAGACCTCCTCCATTTCCATTGCCATTGAATGAGTGGTCACTTCCTGACGCCCTTTTATCCTTCCTTTTTCCCAGAGACGAGGTGCAGATGAGACCCTCCTACAGCAAGTCCAATGGACAGCCCAAGAGCCTGGGCTCCACCTCGCCCACTCCTGGCCAGCCACCTCTCAGCAGCCCCACTCGTGGAGGAGTCAAGAAGGTCTCTGGAGTGGGTGGGACTACGTATGAGATTTCTGTATGAGGAGGTGTCTCCCCACTGTCAACTCCTCCCTGGCTGATTCCAAAATATCCTGTTCCTGATGAGCAGGAATAAGGAACTTGCTCAGCAGATGGTTGCCCATCACATGCATGGACCTTTTCTTTTTTTACAAATCTGATTTTTGGAGGGTGGGAGAGAGCAGAGGGGACAGTGACCTTTTTAAATGAAACAAACTGGGATTGAAAGAGTCCCTAAACACTACAGCAGGATCCAGCCTTGCTCACCTCCACAGCCTGCCCTCTTCCTCTCAACAACCAAGACTGCAATTTGTAGCACACACTGCCGAGAGAGAAGAGGAGGGGCTTGCTATCAGCACCCCTCTGTGGGAGAAGGTGCAGGCTGAAGCCTGCCCCGCTACCAACAGGACAGTCAATTGTGGACCTCGTGCAATCGCTCGCCTAGTGCAGTAGGAGTGGATCATTTTTAATTTTTTTTATTATTGTTACGGATTCTATTTTTCCTCTTCTGAGTTACTGGGTGTGTGTATATATAAATATCTATAAATATATAAATATAAGTATAAAAAGAAATTATATATCTACCCATATTGAGGGAGGGAGCCCCAGGCAGACTCCACTAGCCAGGCCTGAGGAAACCATGTGTTAAGTTAAGTTCAGGGGCATTTAAGTTCAGGAGAGTGTGGAGGATCATCAGCCACTCGGTTTATTTTGAATGGGTTGGGCAGGCCAAAAGAAATGCTGCCACCCCCACCCTCACCCAGGGCAGGTAGGACTGAGGAGATGCCAGCACTGCATTTGACCTGGCCTGGTCATCCCAAGACCTGTGGCCAGACATGAGTTTGGCTTGTACTGAGTTCTGGATTGTTCATTCCAGAAAAGAGCATACAAAGCCCCTGTCTTCTGCAATCCTACTCACTTGGGCTATAGTGTGCTGGAAGGCTTTCCATCTGAGCATATCCTTTCTTGGCGGATATAGTTTCAGAAAACTGTTAGCACTTTTCAGCTTCTGGACAGACATTACCTTCTCAAGAAGATGACTCCCAGCAAAAGCATGCCTCCCCCTGCAAATCAGGCAGATGAGTGCACACAAGTACACTCAGTTGTATACCTTTATGGCCTGAAAAGGTATGTGGGGTTCTGAGCAGCAGGAGGGGGGTGGCAGCAGCATTGGGGCTAGGTCCCTTATGTGGAAATACTGTATTTAGTCAACCTTTCCCCCAGGTGGTTTCCCCTGCTTTTTTACATTGCTTTTATGAATTGCTCCTTATTGATTTATTGTGGTGTCACAGTTCTTTCTTCACAAACTGGGCAAGAGAAAGAAGAGGAAAAAAACAAACCAAAAAGCAATATTTTTCCATATGCCAAAAATGTCTATCCATGCCTATGAAAGTAAAAATCAGAGCAACCCGGGAATCCAACAATCTCTAGTCGCTACTGACTCTTTCTCTATGGCAATATCTTAACTGTGGTCTCCACTGAGCCACACTTTTATTTTTATTATGACTAGCCATTTTAAAATGAGGAATAAAAAATATAATGAGCCACTCCCTCCATGCTTGTGTAGTTTTTGTTTTGTAACTGGGGAAAGGGAGAGGATGTGGTGGTTCGCTTCAGTAATGATTCAGTGCAGGATAGTGAGCTTCTGGCCAGAATTCCATTGATGTGAACGGCTTTCTCAGGTCATGTTTATTCCTTCATCTACATTCTAAGCACTGAGCTAGAATATAAACGGCAAGATATTCTTTGAGAAAGCAAATTAATGACTAGATTCCCCATCCCAATAATTGGGTGGAAACAATGTTCACTTCTGTTTTGTGTTAATAGGCCTGATGGGATGGGAAAAACCACATCAGAAGTATGGTAGGCTAGGAACGGGGAGGTTCACCCTCTCCCTCCTTGTGGTCCTGACAAAAAGTCCCATCAGCTCAGCTACTGTTTATATTGGGAGAGAAGTTCTATTGGGCATCCTGATGCAAATAACAGTTGATGGCCAGGGGAAATTTGTTGGGACCAGAGCAAGGAAGGGAAAGGTTAGATTCCCTTTCTTTGCCTGCAGTACATACAGTTATGGTTATGTATTGTTTGCCTCTTTACCTTGAACCTGTAGAGGTTCTTTGGTCACACAACTGCTCTAAGGTGACTATACCTTTTTACAAAGGAATCAGTATTTTTGATGCACAGTTTCTAATGAAGACGAAATCAACCTGAGTACAAAAGAGAGTGACTTGGTTCATCAGGAACTGCTATTTTGTGTAACCCTGGGCCCCTTGGTATTGTAATATTGCTCACGTATCTTAAAAGGTGGCTAACAAGATGGTGTAAGAAGGGAAAAGAGATAAAAGTACTAATCAAGCGTACAGCCTTGCTTTAATAAGCTGTTGAATGGGTTTTTTTTATTAAAGGCTGTGTTTAGAAGGATAATCTTTGTAGCTTAGCAGTGTTCTGAATGCAGTTGGCTAAGAAGAACAGTGAAATCTCTCCTGAACTAAGGCAGATATTTCCACCTACATTCTTAACAGACCAGGCCATATTATTTTAGGGTAGAGAAAGAGTGTAGTAGAAGAGAAGGCTTGCTACCGGTGAGAGCTGTGAAGCTCTCAAGATCACTAGCAAATGAAGTAAACATGGCAGAAGTAAAGCCTGCTTTCAGAATAGCAAAAGATTAATGTTTAGCAGCCCTTCCAGCTAGCATCTCTAATGTGTATTTCTCCATGATACTAGAAAGGTGGTAGTGCAGAATCAACCTAAAGCCACTACCATGATTACAACTTAACTCAATTTCATTATACAGTAAGCCTCAAGCTGTGTAATGTAATTGTTCCTCTTGTACTTTTTCCAGGAATTCATTCCTAATCAGAAATGGTCTAATCTGATTAATAGGTTTTGTGCTAATGTTTTACTTCTTAAATGTAACATTCCTTTGTTTATGGTGTCAATTGCCGCAATGAAGTAACTGTTGCAGAAGTGCAATTGTATTGCAGCTTTTAACCATCTCTTTCAAGGGCTAAAAGTCTACCATACTAGTTTCATCTCAAAAGTTCCTGCTTATCATCCTAAATTTAGAATTGTACCCTACTATGCCCAGTTTACAATATAAGAGTGTACACACACACACACACACACACACACACACACAGAGAGAGAGAGAGAGAGAGAGAGAGAGAGAGAGAGAGAGAGAGAGAGAGAGATCAAATATCAAAATGCTATTAACATAATATACATACTTCTTATCTGGACTTTCTCTTAAACTGCTTTCCCCCACAAGTGACTAAAAGTGCATATGAAATTCCAAATGATGTTTGAGGGTGGAATTTTTGTAGAGTTGGTGGATTATTCATTCACATTGAGAAAACTGCAATCTGTCATTGTGTTTATTTCATGCTGATGAAAATATTATACATAAAGCATGTGTAGGGCACCCTATAATTAAAGAGCTTATATTTTCTCTTCAGAAGAGAAAGAGGATGTTTTATTTCACTGGATAAAACAAAGCTGCTTATCCACTTATTATGCAAAGAAGAAGCATTCTCAGGAAAAAAGATACTGATGAGACAAAGGATGAGTAGAACAAAACAATGTAAATATTAAAAAGTTCACACTGGAAAAATGACCTGATGCTTGAGTCCTCTTGCTATCTTACAGAGATGCTGACCAAGGGAGAACCAGCTAAGAACACAATCCAGCCAGAGTTAAGCAATTTTAATTCCACTCAATTTTAGTGGGAAGAATATTAAGCCTATGCCTATTTTTATGTTACTGGAAAAGTTATTTCACTGTGGGCTGTGCCCAATATTATTTGTACGGTATCATCAATATGCTTATAGTGTAAATTTCAACAGTGGGAAGGGTACTGTTTTATTCCTGGGTAGCTTAGCACGATGGCCAAACCCAGAGTTCTGACTTGTCTCTTACCTGACAAACCAGAGTTGAAACTCATGGCTAAACCCAGGGTTCTGCCTGTGATTTGCTGAGCAAGAGACAGCATTGTAGGTTCAGTTGTTCTGTATGAACTGAGCCATTGTATTAGAAATCATTTCAAGCAAAGTGCATACAACTCCACTTGTATAAAGTCTTCCCATTACCCTTACTTCTGTTGCAATTTAAACAGTAAGCACATAGGTGCAAGAGGTAAAGTGTCTTTGCTTTCTTTAATGTCTTCCATAGGCAGAAAACCAAGTAGGAGCACTTGACCCATGGTGACCAGGAGGCAGCCTCAGTCCAGAGAATCCTGTGTTTAAAAAAAAAAAAGATTGCTTCCGCATGTAAACTGGGTGTTGGAGGGTGGCATATCCATCTTCAGAAATGTTTGTGTTGTATATGCTATTGGACCTCATACTGTTCAAGCAGAAAACCTTATAAATCTAGGAGGCTGAGGTGAGGCAGCCACAGTGGTGGTTGAAGGGAAATGCAAAATGAAGAAGGCTGCTTTGCTTACTCCATCCATTCTCTAACCTTGGGAAGAGTTTCCTAAATATTTGTACTGTCAAAGCTAAGGAAGCAGTGGGTTGTACTGAACATCGGAAAATGGGCCAAAGATCCATTCAGTTCACACTGTGACCAGTCAGCTGCTTGTGGGGAATCCATAAGGTGGACGTGCATGCAGTAGCACCCTCCCAGTTATGTTTTCCAGCAACTGGTGTACATAAGCATATTCCCTCTGATACTGGTGGGAGCATATATTCATTAAGATGGTAGGACTAGTAGCCATGGAGAATGGCCATATTAGTAATGAATTTTAGGCCATCCAGAAGAGGGGCTCCCAACCTGGAGTACCTGCACTCCTGGGGGGTGCAAGATGGCATTTCAGGGGGTGCAACAAAGAGGAAGGCTGTGTCTCAATTCACCAAAATTGGCAAATTGTTATGTTTTTCACAAAATTTATCCCAGTAATAAAATTATTACAATTTTGTTTGCATTTGGATTCAGTTCTCTTTTGTCATTAGAGACAAAAATCTAAGAATCGCCTGAATCCACAAGCAGAGTTGTGGCTCACAATCAACGAAAATTCCACATTTTGACAAAATCATGAATGAAAAGCAGGAACAAAGTAGTAAGTTAACATTCACAGCTGGGATTGATTTACTGTTTACAATTTTTTCTAATAGCTCAATTTATATTTGCATTTTATGCATTGAGTTAAAAGCTCATTTTTAAAATTCAGTTTGTTCATCTGCAGTACTGTATGCGCTTCAAAAATTAGAAATTTGACTTATTACTATTGTGTTTGTATTTGGATCTTCAAATGTGATACTACTTTTGTAGGGGGTACAAACATCAAACATTTTCTAGGAAAAATGTTAGGAATCACCTGGTGGTTCAATTCACTGAAATAATTCAGTTTCTGTAGCTGCATCCACAGGGTAACTTTTGTGAGTTAAGCATAGTTGCATTTGAATGTGTTATCTGGCTCTAGTGACTAAGCATTCTGCCCTGTTGAAGGCGGCAGGAGTTGAAATTGCCCCAATTCCAGTTCTGAGCCAGCGTCATGATGTACCACTTTGCCTCAAAGAGCAACATTCGAAACTAGCTTATTTCCCCATACCTGTTTATCACTTGAAAGAGCTGAAGTGAACATTTGACAAGTGCTTTCATGAATGTTGGCTATAATCCCATAGTAAGTAATCTGCAAGAAAAGGGAGTTTCCAGACTGACTAGATTGTAGAAAGCTTTAAGTTCCATTGCCTGTGGGGGTGGGTATTACCAAGTAGCTTTCAATTTAAGTGATCATGAGAACTCTGTAAATGGCTTGCCATTATTTTAGGTGCTGCTTTTTTGTTGATTTGCTAGCGGACCAGGCCATCTATGTGTCTTTTCTGCACAGTATGCCTGCAGCTGGCATGCTTCCATGCCACAAATCTGCATGCTACACCTATTGAATTTCTATTTTATATGTAACAGTTACATGCGCTGCCACTTTTTGACAGTGGTATTTCCTCCCACTGAGCTATGGCTATGGCTTCAGGTAGGCAGAGTTCCCTTGTGTGCCATGTGTTCCTTAAAACATGCAGATTTATCTGTTCCCCTGGCAATATAATTAAGTTACATTTCTTCTCCATTTGTTTTTGCCTCCGTTCTTGCCCTTTCCCCAGTTTCCCAGTGTGGTTTTTTTTAGATTCTAAGTCCCTTGAAATTGGTACTTGTCAAACCTACTGATTGATACACATAATTGGCACTAAATGAATAACTGTAAAACTGCAAGTGGCCATGTAGAAGAGCCTACCATTTGTGGTGGCATTTCAGCTTTTCCTGGCCTTATCCAGGTAGCATATCTATAGCAATCCTAAGGGAAAAAGTTCTGAAAATTCCTTAACAGTAGCTTGCTTTGCTGAGCAGTGCATCTCTTCCCCAACCTGGAGCCCTCTAGCTATCTTGGACTATAATATTAATCTTCCCCAGTCTCTCAGCAAATGGTTGGGGATGATGAGAGTAGTAGTCTAAGACAACTGACGGGCACTAGAAGGCTGCCATAGGCAGTTTTCCCTGTATATTAAAATGCATTTCTTTTATAATCCCCGCTCTACTTGGGCCATCCTTTGACATTGCCATCAGTA